ACAGGAAATGCCTTTAAAGCTAATATATAATTTTTTTAAATGCAGTTTTAACCTGAAAAAAGGAAAAGGAGGGATCTTAAGTGATACATATAAAGCAGGAAAAAAACAAATGCAGAAAAAGAAAAGCGACAAGCTGACAGCTGGTTAAGCTCTCCATCAGTCGGCCTAATCTGGTTTCCTTTACTTTAAGGTGATTGTTTAACACTGCTTCTGATACTCTGATGGTTCCGCACTGTCTACTGAAACTGAATGAAAAAAGTCTACTACCACCAACCAAAGCGTACACAGACTAATGGTGTTTGTGTATAATACAGGTGGTAGAGAAATAACTAGAAATATGACGGGGGAAAAACTGTGAGAAAAACCATTGAGGTCCATGGCATATTACCAGTGAACCACATTTGATATGCTTTCAAGATTCCAGAACTAGTCAGAGTTTCTGTACGCGTATGAATGTGTCCGCTGGAAAAAGTGTTCTCAGCCTGGCAGTTTTACGTCTGCTGCCTCATCACAGTGGGGGACGCATTACTATGCAAATGACTCCAAGCACTCAAGGACCCTGTATTCACTCATCCAACAGCCTGATCACACTGGAAACACAAACCACACTTTAGACTTTGAATCTTTGCTTATGCAAACTGTGTCAGTTGGACACCTTGGTATCCATGATAAGGACAAATAGATGAAGTAGTGACTGTGAGAGGGATCAGAAACAGCTGGCTAGAACGAGATGTACTAACATTCAAATTTCCAAAGAGGATAGGAGGAAGTGCTGACAGATGTTATGACGCACAGAATAAAGTTTTTTTCAAAAACATTTTTATCAGTTACTGGAGGCCCACCACTAGTTTTCTACAGTTGAATGCATCAAATTACATTACCAAGGTGGGTAACTCGGTGTAGCTACTTCTGGTTTTAAATGATGAGTTACATGAAGTTAACATATTAGCTTACACAACATCACTACATGTTTAACATATGTCTATGTATATTCATGACCTTTTGGTGAGCAGCTGTTCAATCTGTATTCAATCTGCCCTATTCACTAAACATGTAGCCGGTTGGACCGTGCGAGTTCAAGCATTGAATAACGCTTTGAAAATTCAAAAGCTTGATGTTTTACTTTAATGTCTTACCTACTTTACTTCTCTTGATAAATAGAAGACATGAGCATAGTAGCGTAGCATAAGCCATGACCTAAAACTGAAAGAGTCAATCAGCAAGACATTTCTGTGCTCTACCTCTGCCTGATGTTAAAGCCTCGTTTGTGGATTGTTATAAATGCGTGTAGTTAAAAGCATACAAACTGCACGTGGCATGTTAGGCTAAATGTCATGCTATGGGGTGCAGGCTGACACGGGACACATGGGCCACTAAATATAACTCAGAATTCACTGTTAGCTCACATGATGGGCCCTCCCTCTCTGCTATCATGGCCTGGCATGGAACTCACTGCTCTGCCACCCAACACTTGACAGACAAATGCAAAAAAAAAACACTACAAATACAGACAATGGTTTAAATAAACCATTTGTTTTCAGATAAAAAGTTTAGCAAAATACAGTGGCACAAACTTGCTACTACAAGTACGTGGGAAGAACTGCAAAAACTCTTTAATTAATTTCTCAAAAAAGTAGGTTTAATTTTCAAGACAAAATTACACAATACTAGATTTTCATGCTCTACTTGCTGAGCTATCTGGGCGGGTTCTGAATTGATGATTCCTAATCCTCCCCTTTCTTCTTTTTTTCACCCAAACCTTAAATAAGGGATTATTTTTCATTGAATAACTCAGACATAGAGAAATAATGATACTCCCCCCACCATGCTTAATCAGCTGAATTTTGTCTGAAGTCTAAGCGATTGCGTTATCTGTCGGCAGAGCCTTCGGTGATCTGTTGTGTTGGGCTACGGTTAAATCTGGATCTTATTAGAGCTGAGAGTGACACTTTGACAATGCTTTAAGCACCTACAATCTGACACAAAGTGGTTTGAGGGCATCGTTACTAATCATGGATACGGATGTTGTGTCACATAAACATGTTTTACTAATTTTCTTATAATAGTTCACAGAAAATAAGCTGTACAGCTTAGTGCAGGTGTTTGGCTGTTGCCCTTTGATTAGTACAGGGATGTGATAGGTTCTCTGAGTGAGATTTTTGAAAGGATGCCAAACCTCTGTAGAGGCCCAACAATCCTGAATTTCCACCATCCGTGGAAAGTCTGTCCACTCGTGGATTGACAAACACTAAGATGCGTAGAAATGCTTTGATAGCATTTTCCAGCTTTGCACAATTGTGTCTTGCTTGCCAAAACTGCATTCCAAATAGCTTTTCAAGAAGCTATCCGGATCATGCCACATCTATGAGCAATCAGTGCCAAAATCGTGGTATTTCCATAGAGTTCTTAACCTTTAGCTTGAAAATCTGATGTTCAAAATGCTTATTCAACTATTTCTGCACACAGACTGAATTACAAGCTATAATTTATATACAAGTCTGTAATGGAAAAGCAACAGCAAAGATAGTCACTGTTGATTCTGTCAGCAATTTTCTTCACAACAGAGTGTTTTTTTTTTCTCTGAAAAGAAAATCTCAAACATAAACTCAAACTGTTTAAACAACATGCTGTATGTTTAGCATAAGCAGGACTAGCACATGTGTGGCCCGCTCAAACCTGTAAATGATGCCTTTGCTGTGCAGGAAGATGAGAGCAGAAGTAATCTCTGCCGTGTAGAAACGTGCTCTGGCCTCCTCAAACTTTCTGGACTTCTGGATGTGGAACATGAGGTCACCACCATTAACAAACTCCATCACGAAGAAGAGACGGTCCTGCCACAAAAATGAGAAAATGACATTTACACAGATGCACACACATACCACAGCAGCTCGACAGAGGCTGCCATATCATTAAAGAACCTGTGACCATGGACAAAGGGAAATGGCCTGAAGGATGCTACATGGCTGTTTCTCATATATTTCACATGAACATTTAATGGAATTCTGCACAACACACCACTGCTTACAGTTGAAGAAAAAGCAGAAATGGTGATGAGACTCATAAATCTTTCTGATCTCAATATATACCATGGTTAATAAGTGATGTAGAAAATGGGAAGCCTGAAGAAAAAATTTAAATTAAAAAAACAGTAGACATGTGATCCACTGCTGAAGTTATCAGAACATTACAACTGACCGTTACACACGTAAGGTATTATGGGAACTTTGAAATAAAATATTTTTATCTGATGTCTTATGTTTGCCATCTCTTTGCCACTTCCACTACAATAATAAAAAAAATTCCACTGAGGAGCTGAAGCTGATGCAACATTACGTAAAAGTAGTCTAAAGCCGCTTCGGACATGCACTGCAGACATCTGTATCGCTTAACTTGGCCCAATTCTGAACCACTGATGTCACATTACATCACAGCGGTGGGATGGCATTTTGGTTTTCTGGTCAGCTTTTCAGAGAAACGTGATGGCTCGTGCATTTACATAAATAGGTTTTCCGAGCTGCCCTTCTTAGTTTTTTTACCTCTGATAACTAGCTGTAAATATCTTTAAAGCATCTTAGCTAAACGAACAAGAGAAAAAAATTTATTGAAAGTGTGCAAGATACAGCTAAAACCTCTGTTCTCTGTCTGAATATAGAAATATATTTTCTCTTCCCATTCACTGCTGTCCAGACACAGCAGAGCATGCTCGCTGGCATGACAAAAAGCTGATAGACATTACATATTGGAGTAAATAAAGCATGACATTTTGTACATTTGTGTGAGGCTAGCCCAGAATATACTGTCAGAGGTGCTCAGTAAAAGTCAATTTAGATAAATTGAATTACTTTATTTTTTAAGGTAGTTATTAACTTGGAATAAAAATGTAATTAAAGGCCATGTTTTCTTACAAAAACACAAATGTGCTGTATTAATAAACCCTCATTTGATTAGCTAATTAAGATAATTAAACACTTTAAAAACCACAGATAAAGTTTCAGTTTTGTGTAGCTTTTTAAGCCTTTTCACACCTTGAACGTGTCATGACATTGTTGCTCACTAAACTGAACAACACTTTCTTGAAGTTACATGTAAGTTTGATCTGATGAGGCAAAATACGCCATTGAGTCAGTTCATCTCTGCAAAAATAGGTCATTAATGGTTCCAACAACTAAAGCAGATTAGGAGTGTCTCCACTGAGTCAAAGGAACCGTCTTTCCTGGTTGATGTCATCAGTCTCAGATACAAAAATGGGAAACTGATGCCTCCTGCTGGCCAAGTAAAGAAGTGCTACAGAAGATATCATAAAACAACGAAAATTTGCGTGGCAAATATTTCTGTGTGTATGCAGAGCTAAAGCGTTGACTGTTCCTAAAAGAAAATGGACACAAATCCCCCAAAAAATGATAAATGCGCCCCATATGCATTTAACTGGAAAAAAAAAGTTAGGGCCCTTGACTCGTACCCACCGGTGTCTGGAAGCAGCAGTAAAGCTGTGTGAGGTATGGGTGACAGCGGGCCAAAGCCAGCACTCGCTTCTCTGTCATTGTGCATTCAACATCATCGTCCTGTAAGATGATGTCCTTCTTCAACACCTTAACAGCAAACACGCGGTCTTTGCAATTTAGCCTCGCCAACATCACCTGTAGTCACAAACAGAGGGGTTAAAGCTCAGGAGCCCAAGAGCCGAACCAGAGGAAACCAAGAAATATAGGTCTTTGCACATAATGGAATTTCATCCACTTTTTCCCCCCCGGTCGGTGTCACCTTGCCAAAGCTGCCCTTTCCGAGTACTTGAATGAACGTGAAGTCAGTAATTCCCAACCGAGGAGTCTCCTGTTGGGCCTCTGTGCTCGTCTCTGTGCTTTCCCTCCTCTCAGACGGCGTCCTCTGCTCCGGACATTTGATCTACAAAAGGTCAAAATTACACAGGGTAACACCTTTGTTGGGTGTTGTCTGGCTTATTAAAAAACAAACAAAAAAACTGATTTGAATTTTTTTTTTACCGTTGTGTTTCTTTTGGAAATCCCCCCGGCCTGTAGACCCATCTCTGCGAGCTTATTGGCCAGCTCCACGTTGTTGACCCCACAGTTGGGAGCAACGTTGCCTTTGCAGCGGATGTGAACATTCATTTTGCACACTGAAACGAGGAAGAGCACAAGCCTTCAGTGGAGGATAAATCCCTCGCTGGCACTTTTCAGACACCAGTTGGGCTGCGGCTCGTACTTTTACAGTGCAGCCCCTGTTTGACGATTCCCCACAGTAATGAGCCGCAGTGGTCACAGAAGGTGGGCGACTTGTAGTTATGGATGGTGAACTTATGGGGGATGTTAATGCTGAAGCCTTGGTTGATGGGCTGTTGAGAAACAACACTGTTATCGTCATGCTGCCATTGCCATCTCTCCACCTGCCGTTTAGAGCACACTGACACCGAGAAACGTGGGCTGTTCTTTAAAGTGCACCCTAAACGAGAGCCAGACTGTAACCTTACATTACAAAAATAACATTAGAGGCATGCTGGAACGCATAGTGTCGCACATTGTTCCAGCTCGGTGGTCGAAACAAACAGAAACAGGAAGCTGAATGGTCTACTGATCACTGCAGGTGTAAATCCGAGGTGGGCGACTTCATGTGTAGGAGGGGGCGGCTATTTTTGTATTTCCTGCGTTCAGAAAAAAGCGGGCTTGAAACCTTGTGAAAGAACAACTAAGCACAAGAGCCCGAAACCTTCAAACAGACCAATTATTTAGTTTTTGATCTGATGGTCAGATTTCCTGCCCCTGTGGCAGAGCTTCAGCTGTGATCACCTGCTCCTTTGCCGTCTTCTTCATGCGAGGGCACACGGTGACGACCAGCTGGTGGCACCGCTTATGAACGACGCAGGTACACACTGCACCAAGCACAAAACAGAAAACAAGGTCATACCCACCGTTTCTCCGCTTAACATTAGGGGACTACAGCAAAAGGCCCGAAAGCCTGAGGTCTGCTCACCTTGACACTGGTAGCCCTGCTTCCCAAAAACTCCCCTGTAACAGAGGCAGATCCGCGGTTAAGAGCATTCAGTGAAATATGTGCAGACAGAAGAGATTCGTTCCCGTTAGACCTGCTCACCAGATGAACTCCTTGCAGTGAAAACAGAAGGTGGGCTGACGGAGGAAAGTGGACATGAACTTGTGCCCGTTGACCTGGTGGATCCTCCGTCTCACCGCCCCCTGCCGGGTCCTCGTAAACTGCTTGTAGGTTTTCTCTTTCAACAAGGCATCATCTGCAAAAGTTAGATGTCAAACATCAAAAGGGTGCTGCTGTTATCTGATTTAATCTATTAAAGGTCAAGCTTGAAAATACACTAGAATTTAGAATTCAATACGGGTAAGTGGCTAAGAACTGACTTTTTGTACCAAATACTGGTACAAAAAATTGTTTCTTAGCCACTTACCAGTATTGAATTCTAAATTGATTAACTGAGTAAAGTTTACTGCCAGCTCAGAAGAAGTTGAGGCTGCAGTTCCTTAAATGACAACTTGAGGTCGCCTCCAAATGCGCCTCCATGGTTGCTCCACACGCACATAAAGTCAAGATATTACTACGATTCTTTAAAAGGCTTCCAGGAGGGAGAGGGTTAAAAAATGTTAAATTCTTTTAAAAGAAACTGAAAACACAAAACTGCCAAATAAAGGAGAGGCCTTTTTACTTAATGAATGATTAATTAATGGTGCCACCCCCATACATGACTGGACTGAAAGAGGTATGACTTGTTTGAGTACCAGTATTCATGTCACAGAACTTCTTATTTTTTACCCTGTTGTCTTTTTACCCAAGTGGTCAAGAGGTCAGCTGCTGAGCCCTGCAGCGGATATCAGTGTGATGTGTGAAAAGAGATGCTACATTCAGACTGAGCCTCTCAGAACAGTTTTTCTCTCTAGGACAAGCTATTTAGTCATGCTTCCTTTAAACGTTCGACAAAAAGCGTGAGGTCTAGGTTCACGTCAACATAGAGTTTACACTGTCTGATGGGGTGAAAAGAGGCTGGTATCACTTAAATGAATCTCCCACAGCTCAGAATGAGGAAGAGCCAGCATGGGTCGCTTGTCTCCTTTGGCACAAAGGCTGTCGCTGTATGCACGCTATGTTTGTAACAGGGGAAAGACACAGCAGCTATATTCTTTGTTTGTACTTGCTATCAGTCACTCTTTTACAAACAATAGGCCTTATTCCTGCTTAAGAGTAGCATCAGTGGTTCTCATCCCCCAGCTCTGGGACACATTTCGACAGGTTTAACTGTGTTGTATCCTGTGACACTAAGGCGACAGTATGAACGGAACAGACATCCATTTTTATTTACAAGAACGAACTGTGCGTCAATAATAAAGAAAACCAACAAAGTGGAAAAACCACGATCTTTTACTGTGATCAATCTGTTCTTCCACTGTAAAGACTGACTCAGTTATATTCTATTTAGTTAATGAAACGGCTTCGAACTTAATATGAATTTGATTCCATTCTGAAGTGATAAATAAGACTGAGCAATTCGTCAGATGTCTGATGTGAAATCGTCTACCACTTTACATAGTGCAAGATGACACTAACTTGTGCAGCTCTCCTCTTTGTGGTAGACCACCGCCGCTGCTCAAACCTTCTATAATGCTTCTTCTTTTTTTTTTTTGCTCCTTTCGAGTGAGCTAGCGGTAAAGCCAAGGCTCCATTGGATTGTTATTTCTAACAATGTTTATGCAATTAATCGTCTGTCGGAAAACGGGACTGACTGGGTTTGGCAGATACGCTGTGGAATGTCAGAGCGAGAAAGCGTGCTGCTGATGACTGGATGCGATCTGGAACCATGGGCTGAAAAGAGCCGAAAGGCCGTACCGTCTGTGAAAGATCCAGTAAGCGTGATGTGGATGTAGACCTTGCCTTCTGGCTCCAAATCCATCTGCAAACACACAAACACAACGCAAGATCAATGTACGAACGCAGGGGGAAAAAAAACAGAGACTTAGAATGACCAGATCAAAGAGAAATTTAGTCAGGACGGATAAGCATGCGAGAACGTATCGGTCGGCCTCCTGAAGATGCAGCTATTGGACGCATGCTTTTCATTCCTGGGTGAGACCGTAATGTCGGAGGAATGTGGACGCCCTGACAGAGAGACAGGTTTGGTCAGTTGAGCTGGTTAAGATGACCTAACCCATGCCCAACAATCGCATTTTCAAACAGCGCATCGAATGGGGTCTTTTGGAGGCGGCTACTGGCAGGCAGGAAGAGAAGGCACTTCCTATTGCACATACTGAGTGGAAACTTGGGTCAATGTAAACTTACACCGAAGCTCTATTTATGTCACATTTACTCTTCCTGGAAAGAAAAAAAAAATGACGTAGCCTAAAGATGACGTGTAGAATGAAAGTGACAAACTGTGGTATCTCTCGGCTGGTGCAGCGAGTTTCGGGCTCGTCTGAAGGAAACGGTCATCTTTCTACCTCGTGTCAAACATCTAACCTGCTCAGACTCCGTTTTTCACCTACAGTGTAGGCGAGTCGTCCAATGCGAGACTTCCTCTGTCTGTGTTCACAGTTTCTACCTTGCACCCCACAGCCAAAGATTAAACTGATAGATGAGTGTGCATTATCACAAGGATAAGCCGCCCTGAGATTTTTGGGTTTGTGTGTCTCCGACTTCACCGTTTTCGATCGCAGAGTGAGGCCCGTGACTATCCTCCATTTATTGGTAATTACTTGTAGACAGAAACTGCACACCCACGTTGAGCACTGCACCTTCAAATAAGTCAAGTGGGTGTATCACTTGAGACAGATTAAGCAGTTCTGATCTAAAATAGATCCAGCTGCTTCTGGGCAGCATGAAGCTAAATATAAAAAAGCAGAACATTCAAAGCTGTATCACAAAGGAGGAAGTTTTTGACTTTTTTATTTTAAAGGCCTGGGGGCTGGGACTTCTTTTAGTCGAGTAGGCAGTTCGTTGGAGGTGGAAAATGTTGAGGGTCTGTATTTAACCTGCTTTCAGTTTCACCCATTTTAGGCCTATGACACCTCAGTGGAACCAGCGCAGCATGACTTTAAAATCATCCACACTTGATCATAAAAAAAACAGCACTGACACAACAAACTGAGTTTTTTTTTTCTTTTCTGAGAAATGCTAACAATGCTGACTCTGCAGTCGGCCGGGCATCAGCGGTCTGCGCGGCTGGAGTGACTCGGTGTGCACAGGCCGGACGTGAGCATGCTGGACGCGGAGCAGCTGGATGAGAGCCAACCGGAGAAGTAGTCTGCTGGCAGGGAGCCCGTGAGAGCCCATCAGCTGGTGGGAAAAACTGCGATAGGCAGCGCTGTGGGCGTGTGGAGGCCTGCGCCCGACATAGGAAAGCCGCCAGCCCGGCTCTCCTTTTTGCTCTGCAGCTCACACACACAGAACTTCAGAGCTCAGATCAAGCCGATAGCACATTTGACTGTGGGTCTTGAAGTGAGAAAAAGCAACTGCAGACCAAGTTCCACTTTCACACCACTTCCTCACAGCGCTTGGGGTCTTGGTGAAAATATGTGCAAAGCAGACTTGAGTTGCTTTTTTCTTTTCTTTTGTTTTTTGCTGCAAGCCCTCTCAACTGATCTGGAGCCAAGCCAGCACAGACATGTGCAAGAATGTCTCATCTACATTTAAAAAAAATGCAATTATCAATAGTGGGTTTCCTCTAAATGTACCGATAAAAATGATTTTTCGTTTGAAATCTTAACAATAAGAGATAAGTCTTTCATTCCTGGAAACATTTTGGGTTCCATCCATTACATGGTCCCATTGTGTTTGCGTTAATCGCATTTAAATGACAGTTAACGGAAAGCCTCTTTGTGCATAAATAGAGCACATACTGGACATTTTTTGGGACGGATGTACTTTACTGGCATTAGGGGATTATTAGCGCCAGGACAACGTGTCTATGGACGTGAAACAATTCTGCAGGCGGCGCTGGTGCGGAGGCCTCCGGGCCTGCACAGGGTCTGGTTACACCACGCAACACCTGCAGAGGCTTACTGTCCTGGGAGGATGAACAAAAGTCAGAAGAGGGGAACTCCACTCTCAAGGGGCAGTTTTCATCAGCACACAGACAGGCGCTGGGCTTTATTTTAAGCTTCGGCAGGGTCAGCTTCTCCTCACTGTCACATGTGCATAAACAGTATCACAGCAAAAAATATTCTGGGAAAAAAAAAAGAACTATTTAAAACCTTAAACAGCAAAAATATAGTTGAATATCAAAGCCCTGGAAAGCTCAGGAAGGAGAAGTGTGAACATTTTGAGATGGTCCACGCAGCCCTGCAGATTACTGAGCGTGTCTGAGGAAGGCTCGCGTTCATGCGCCGCTGATCTCCGGCAGAATTACTGCAGAATTACCACCTCGCCACACGCTGGCACGTGCGGCTCCACGCCGATCACAGCCAAAGCTTCTAAGCCAATAAGTGTCAGAGACTAAATGTCCCTGTCCAGTGAAAAAGCCCAGAAGAAGACTACTCAAGAAGATTACCAACACCGCCTCGGAGGCCCGAGCATGGAGCTCGGGCCCTTTCATATTTTTCCAAACTAAAAACAGACAAAGTCACTCAGGTGGGTGTGCAGCAGGCTCAGGAGCTCGCTGTCCTGTAGCTGTTCAAACTGTAGCGGGGAAAAAAGTAACTAGTGTCTCTGAGAGAAGAAAAAGAAAAGAGCCTTTGCTGGTCCATATTTTCTTCCTTTTTCCTTTTCCTGAACCAGCCGGTTGAAGGAATCATCATCCTCCAGGATCACATCTTAAGTTTTGATGTTTTCCAGTATTCTTCTGGAAATAGAGTCCCGTTGGACCGACCTCAGAATGCATGCAGGGACTCTCCGACTGAATCTTCATCTAATTCAAGAGCGGACATCAGCTCTTACGTAATTGCCTTTGACAATTCAATAGACTCAGTGTTTTTGATGAACCCAACAGAAATGTCATCCTTCCATCACTTTCCAGGATTTCAAGGACTTTCTTCCTCTAAGAGAGACTTGAAGATCTCGAAATAATAAACTTTACAAAAAAATCAGCTTGAAGATTCAAGCTTTGCATTTCTTTTCCTAGTTTTTTTTTTTGTAGTTGCAAGAAGAGGGCTGATTAAAGGACTTTTTGAATAAAAAACCTGCTGTGTGGTCCCCGTTTTAGGGGATACCTGGAACAGCAGGTTTCATCTCTTTGCTGAATTACCTCGACCAACACCGCCTCACTCTTGCGTTGTCGCCATATCGATATTATTATCTGCAAGCACGACGGGATTCTCTGGTAATCAGGCTTGAACCAATCAGCGCGCCAGATCAGCTACTTCTGCTTGGATGTGGTGAAAAATACATCCTCCAAAATTGTTCAATATTTCCTGACTGCAATTTGCAAAATCTGCATATTCCTAACTCTAAATTAGTTAAAACAGGGGAAGAAAATTAGCAAACCAGCCAGTGCTGCATCACGGTGGACATCCTGGTTTCAAGCCAACTGGAAAAGAAGTCCTGGTAGCTTGGAGGAGGCCAGATGTTCAGCGGAAAGGTGATGGTCGCCTCCAACTGAGAGAAGCCAAAGCCAACAGGGGCACGTTTCTCACGTGTGTCTGATAAACCAGGCCCAGGATTAGAGCCTTTAGGTAAATCATCCATGAATCAATAAGTGATTATAGCCCACTCGGGATGAGCAAAGCCCTGCCCCAAACCCAAAGCAGGTACCGACTCCAGCCTCACTCCTGAGGAACAACAACAGCTCCATTTGGAGACTCTGTACTTAGAAGGAATCGAGAAAGACAGGTTCTACATCCTGGTCAGATCTGGGGATCTGGGAAAACACCCTGAGTCTGCTGACCAGGGTGGGCCTGGGTGGTGTGTTCACTGTGGGGCATGACAATAAATGCTGCACACACAAAGAAAAACACACATAAAAGCCAACAACAACAACAACAACACAAAAAAAGGAATCTTTTTTAACATGTCAGTAGGGGTGAATCCCATCCAGGGCGCCCAGCTTAGACTCACCCATCCCTCAAAGGTCTTCCCCGTGTTGGAGGTCTCGATGAGGTCCTCGAACTGGATGGTGCAGTTGGCCACGAAGTCATCGTACCCTATGGGGGTGTCGTGGAACACCGCCAGCTCGATCAGCCGCCCGTCGTTCACGTTCAGGCAGAACTCCTCGTTGTAGGTGGGCATGTTGGTCTTCTGTTTGGTGTGAGTCTGTCCGATTTTGTAGTCGTCCACCTTCACCACCACGTAGGGGTCGAGAGCCGCGGGAGCCTTGTTGAAGATGAGAGAGTGGCGCGTGGAGAATTTGGTGGGTTTGAGGTCCAGCGCCTCGCCGATTCGGAGCTTCAGATATCCGTTAAACTTCATCCTGACGGAGTTCCCCGAGGTGACCCGGACCGGCGAAGAAGCGAGGAGAACTCTACGGGGGGGCAAAACGCACTCAGGGGAAGGAGAAGAAGTAGAAAGGGGGAGAGTGGGGGCGCTTTATGATAACACTGAGGAAGGGCAGTGAGGAGTCTTCGCCGTTTAAACCATCCTGACATGTACCAGCTGACCCGCTCCGCGCGCGCGTTTGCTGTCAGTGCGCAGCCCCCGCGTTCCGTCTCGGCACGAGCCAGGTCCCGGAGCTTTCAGTAAATAGGAAGCTCCGAGAAAAAGCGACCAGAGTTCCGCATTACTTGTCACCGTGCAACTAAACCCTGAGCACACAAGACGAGACCTTTCAACCTGTCACTGGCGGGTTTGGTGGGTCACATGGCAGGATTTGTAGTCCTCTATTAAAGAAATGACGAGTGTCGTGGAGTACTACACCTACCATGATGCAGCTGTCACTGAGGCTCACCTGTCCTCTGTTGTTCGGATCAAAACCGCCCTCTGGTGGTCGTTGTGGGGAAGTGCATGACATGCAGTTTCCAACTTAGTGGGGGGCCCAAAGCAGGATTTTGCTCGGGGGGGCTCTTGTTAGTCAAACTACGATAAAGGGATTCCTAACCTTATAGATAGTCCATTAAAGTGCCACAATCTGTCACATATTACAAGATAAACAGGCAACAAAACTAACTAGGGATTGAATGATGAGACGAAGTGAGCATGGACGTCTCTCTTCTATCTCCTCTACTGTCAAATTTGTAGAGGCAACTCCAGATCTTTCCTGGTTGCCTCGTGTGTTGTGTGCTATGGACTGCGTTCGCGACTTTTCAAAAGTGTACCTTGCTTTTTACATCCGGTCAGTCCATCTGTCATTAATTTGTGTTCCTTTTTAAAAAAATAATTCACATCAAAAGCAGTAATGCATTCGTGTGCATATATTCATAAGTAGCTAGAACAACTGGTTGAGAAAAAAAAGTAAAGTGAAAGTAAGTTCCACCCCTTAATTCTCCTCCTTCTTTCCTCTCCTACCATGTTTGACCGTTTTCTCTTTCGACTCTAGACGCCACTCTCTCCACTTCTCTCTCCCTGGGGATGCTGTGGCTGCTCCATCCATAAATGCCATGATCAAAGTCTCCACTTTATTGGTGTTAGACTTGACCCCTCACCCCTCTCTGCCAAATGTCAGCACTCCCCATTTCTCTCCTCCAGCTGTTATGAATAAAGAGCAGGGCTCCCATCTCATGCCCATCCCTCGGATGCAGACCGTCTTGTAAACAGACCTCAGACATGACCTTAGTGAGCCCGGAGGGTCGTAATGATGGAGCTAGAAGGTTGAGGGTTGCCTGGCTGCCACATCTCCAACACCCTCTCAGCCATCTGCTTCAAGTGAAAAAACACTTCCAAGCTGAAATTTACGCGGTAGATAAAAAGACACAAACATACCCACACTCGTATAATATTTGACTGTTTATTCAAGACGCCAGAGTTCAGTCAATTTCATGGAATAAATAATAAAATTCATGAAAGCGTGCGCTCCCTTCAACTGAAAGAGTCCAGCAGAGGGCAGAAAAAGACTGCCTAATTTTTCCTCTTTTTTCTCTTTATTACATTTCCATTAATGAATCTGCACATTTGATCCCCTCTTTGTCTTTTTTGTTACTACTTGGCCGGCATCACCGATCTTTCTTGTTCCAATTTTCTCTCTTTAAGTGGTTGTCGTGACCAACCTCTGAGTTTGAGTTTAATTCACTGAGGTCTACAAACACCAATCTGACCATAAAGACAGTCCACAATGTGCAAAACACAACAAAGCACCCAATACATCTGAAGATGATTTGCAAAATGAGCAAAGATAATTATTGTATTGTATTTAACAGCAGAACAGAAAAGCAAAAGGTGGAAGGTTTTGTGATGCTCTTTCTAGTGTTGTGTTATTGGCAACACTGCTGTTTTAAAGAGTGTGAAACTTGTGCCTTTTTTGTACCATTTTCTGCTTTCGTAACGTGTTTATGTTTCTTATTTGCTGCAGTTTACCTATATTGTTTTAAGATTAAAAACATATTTCTTGCTGGACTTGTGTGTAGGCAGGTTTTGAAATTGGATGAATGGACATTTGTGGCTGTTGTGCCTTTGCCTTCTTCATGTCTTCTTTAATTGTGTGACACTTTGAAATGTTGTGTGCTCCAGTAGGTAGTATAAACACCTTACCTCATGTACATGGGTTACATACATTGTATAAGTTGAAACACAGCAACAGCCTCGGGCCTTAAACACAAACACACACAGAGGCCTGAACAAAAACCGCTGTTGTCTAAATGTTTTTGGAGTCGAGCCTTCCACTGCCCCCGAGCTGCCCGTATCCCCGAGCAGACGCTTCTCTGTTACAACTTAATTTCAGCCACCTGTAGAGTTCCCACATTTTCTCCACTATCTACGCTCCGGTTGAGGTTTGTGCCACGCTGAACAGCTCAATCCCCTGGCTCCCTGCCCAGCTGCACTCCATCGCAGCGGCTAATGAAGCGTAGCATTGGTGCCAAACGGGGGAGCGGGCAGTAAGGAAAGCACGGCCCAGATATGACGCTCATTCCCAGTTCCTTTGACCTCGGTGAGAGAAATCCTGCGGGGCCACTATACACCCCCAACCTCACCTTCTGCACTGCCACAAACTCAATTACATCCATCAGTCATTGGCTGGGAGCTCCGGGGTTTACCCCTATCCTGCAATCCTGTCACAGGACCCCGACTTCCCCCTCAGGTAAGGCTGTGTGGAAACTTGTGAACTGAGCACACACACACACACACACACAACACCAGGGCTCTGGTGAGGGACTTCATAAATCACATCTGGCCCTAAACGGGCTTTATTCACAAACGTGTTTACTGCCAGCACTCTACCACAAAACACAGGACTCACAGCACACTGTTCACAGGCTGTTCCACACTGTTGTGAGGGGAAGAAAAAGGAAAAGAGCGTTTAGCCGGCAGCTTAGCGGCGGTATCTCAAACCGATAGACCACCATTAAGTCAATATGCTCGTCTCTGTGAGACAAAGTGAAAGAAAAGGATGAGAGCCTCGGTCAGCAATGGAGGATGTGGCTTTTGTTAAAAGGCAGAAGGAGGTGACCAAGAGAAAAAACGCGTCCGACAGGGATAAAGTACAGCATTGTGAATGCTGAAGGAATGTAGCAGTGAGAGTGGTCAGAGGGGCTTTGAACAGAGGAGCTGCATGTACGGGGTTTTGTGGGAGGGGGTGGGGGGGCTGTCACAGCCCCTCCAGGGTAATTGGCTCCAGATGTGAGGCAGCGTGGCTCCTGCGCCAGAAAGGCGTCAGGGCCGCATTAAGAGCTCAGCTCAGGGCTGATGGGATCGCACAGGCACAAGTTCACCCCCAACCACCAGAGAAAAACAGCAACTGAATCCTGAGCTGTTGCCGGTCATTGCCGGGCCTCAAACAGAATAACTTTCTTCTGACATTGTGAGAGACTGAAATAAAACCCGAAAACAAGACTGAAATAAATCTTTGAAGGGCAGCTTTTTGCGTGGAATGCAGTGCAGGGACAACATATGATGTCACCTCTTGGAAATACTATTTGTTTTTTTTAGAAGAATAAAGTGAAACATAGGATCATTTAAGTTTATGGATGAGTAAAATAGAAAAAAAAGGGATTGTTTTTTTCAAGTCACAATTAAATATATTCATTAGCTATTTTTATGATTCAGACTCTCTGAAGAAAGGGGAGGTTAATGTTAAATGATCATTTATTTAACATTCTGCATTTGCTTTATGGGCTCTGAGCACAACAGTGACGTATGTACAGGTTGTCAGGAAGGGTGTTTTGCTTGGTTTCTTTTGGGGATGATCTAGTGCCTTACTAAAAAATAAACAAACAAGGAAATAAATATGTCCTATATTACAAACTGAAGGGTCAAAGTGGCAAATGACTGAATCTTGCAATTTTAATCTTTTCCAAATTAGCAAAGCACAGCATGTTTTTACTCTGTCAATTTCTCATGTTTTCAAAAGACTCCTTTTGCTCTTTACCTATAATTTAGCTCCAATGAAATACAGTCGTTTATTCTCAATCACTCAACGAACTCCTGGAGTACTCAAAAATGAATAAATTCCACTTTGTTCTGTTTGTTTTCCCTTTTGTGTCATTGTGTTTGGGCCTGATGGCGGACTAATGGGTGATCAGTCAATTCTCCCACAGTTTCAAGAGCCTCTACCAAAGGAAGCAAAGTGTTGTAGTGTTCTGTGTTTTGTGAAAGAAGCAGATTATATGGGCCTGGGGGATACACAGCGAGGACACTGCAGATGCATTTGAATGGCTTGACAATCTTATTTTCAGAAAGACGACAATGTCAATTTGCTGAATGTTTTTACACTCAGACCTTTGAGGTTAAGCACTGTTTCATCATCTGTGAAGCATGATTTATTATTTGCTGAGACTCCTCTAATGAATACTTTAAACTGTGTTCTGTTATTGTTTACAATAAAAAAAAAAAAAGATTTAAAAAAGCAAAGCATGAAAAAATCTGAGTATGAATAAGGTCAATTCTACAAACAGCATCTGGTGTTTGAAAAAGAGTCCTCAGAGTGAAGAATGCCGTTACTGTGACACAAAGAGCATGTTTACTGATTGAGCGTGGAAATTGATTAAAACCAGAAAAGCAGCATGGGGCAAAGGTAAACGCAGGCAACAGAGAGAATGAAAGAAAAGGGAAAAAAATTAAATGGCGAGCACTTCATCAGTGATGACACTTGTGTATTGATGGCATTTGCTGTGTTGCAGTCTTTACCGTGACTAACAAGGAAAACCACTCATCATGCCAGCAAGCATTAAAAAGCTGATGTGAAAAGACCCTTGAAGCACCTATCAGCCAGGAATGCCTGTTGAACAAGATTATGAGGGTGAACAGAAAGCAGATGTGCATGCTTTAAGCTCGGCTGCAGTTTCTGACGTCCACAACCTGTGACGGCACACTGGATTCATGTGGAAGCACAAACAGGATGGGGAAATGGAAGACATCAGGTCTGCTTTTTGCCAATATTAATCTCTCTGGCCTTTCAGAGATTAATATGGGAACTCTGCTACTCTTGAGACTGAAGATGAGGCTTTTACAAGGGGTGTCCAACCTCTCCTTCACCACAGAGGAAGGGAAAACAAACTTGAAGTATGTCAAAGGTCAAAGCTTTATGGCTCTGATTTCCAACAACAGAAACTCATTTTCAAATAACAGAACCGACACCTCTTAAAACAATACAGAAAGCAGAGGCTGCCGACAGGTGCTTGATTTCAGCTGATCATCGTTCCCCTGCCCCATTCCATCCTCCAGCCTCGGGAGATGGTGTTGTCATACTGCTGGACATGTGCCCAGGGTGTGAGCGAGTTTAACCAAACAAAAACACTCCCACCCCAGGCTGAGGACTCGGGCCCCATCAGGCCTCCATAAAAACAGCTCTGAGCTGTGTTAACATGCATGTTTCCAGCACATGACACAATTGTGAGAAAAACCATAGCATCTGGTTATCTCCGACTTGTTGAGGTTTCACAAACAAAAGAGGAATGTCAGCGGAGCGACGGTGGCCTGCAGCGCTCCTAAAACAGCCAGACACTAGGTGGTAATCTTGCGCTGTGAATGAGTTTACAAGAGAGGTCCACACATGAGCACAGAGTGGCAGAGAAGAAAAATGTGCTTTTTAACTGAGCACAGCAATAGTTACTTTTTTAACTCATATCTTAAATGAAAAATGAAATTATGATAAGCTGTGAACTATTTCCCCAACTGAGCATCTCATCTCTTATTGGTAAAAATCAACATTTACCCTTTAACCAAATATAAAAAAAACAACAAATGATTGGAGGGCAGATGGCTTTTTTTTTTTTTTTTAAAGGGATTGTCCTCCAGAGTGGATGAAAGGATGGAGACGGCAGACATTTATTTTACTAAAGGAACTCTTTCAAAGGCAGGTGAGTCAATACAGGACCACGACTTCTTCTTTCGACAGCGACGGCAGGCAGATCTACCTCATTCCAAAGATTAAAAGCAGCCGATGGGCGGTTGCAGGCTTTAGAGGCAGGGTAAAGACAGTCTAAACAGAATTATGATTAGAAACGTGCAGGGCATATGGATTTAATCAGCCATGAGCCGAACCCAGAGTGGAAGACAGAGCAGAGGATCACAGCATCAATACAGCGACTGCCAATCAAACACAATGATGGACATTCCAAAGGGATATAAAATAAAACAGGAACTGCAAGGGATTTAAAAAAAATAACACGACAAATAAACAGAGAGTTGTCCATTTTTATCACATACATTAACAGAGCAAAAATACCAAAACACCACTAAAATTGGAATGGAGAATGACTGTGTGGGTTTAAGACTAAAAACAGAATGGTTCAGAGCTGTTCCCACAACCAATAAATAATAATCATACTTAGGTTCAAGTTTGGATTATACAACATCAGAAAAAAATGCCAACATTCATGGTTGTAATGACATGTTCATAGGCTGGTAGTTCACGTAAAGTGCATGATCATCCGTATAAAGGCAACAGAGCAGCAATTAGAGGGTAAAAATTACAAAAAGGAAAGAATATAAAAGACACAAGATAACAGCTCTCAATCTTTTGCTCCGGGCAGATTAAAAAGATTTTTGATTTTTTTTTTTACAGTCTGAAAATCAACATGTAAAAGATGCTGATGAATCTATACACACACACAGCACAACGGGCTTCAGAACTATTTTACCATGAAGTGTCCTGACCTGATATTCTTAATGTCTGTTCAATCTCATTTGAAATTAAATTTCTTTGGTTTCAATTTCCCTTTTTTTCATCCGTTTCATGGTATTGGCTAGGAGCTCCTCACCCATGTGATGATGATGACGCAGAGGCTGATGACACCCATAATCAACCCAAAGACCACAAGAAATATCGCCTGAAGGCAAAACGTGAGAAACAAAACAAAGTGAGCATAGAGCGTAAAATGGCTCAGAGTAATACAGTAAGTGTTGTTTGGATTTACCCCAATGGAGTCGACAGATCTGAGGGGCTGACCACTAATCTTGAGGTAGAAGATGCCTGGAAAAACAAACAGCAGGCAGCTGGACATTGTTGATCCTGGGGGAGAAAACAAGAGGGACTCTCAGCGCAGGACACCATTCATTAAGTCGAAGTGTGATACTGTGTCTACAGATGTGAAAAATGGCATGTTAGCTCATTTAATTTTTCTCAGCAAACTGAAATAGACAGCAGCAAAAACATTTAGCATCTCAAAGTTAAAAAAGAATGCCTTACCAACTACTCCAAACACATTGCTTATATCAGGCACAAAGATGGCCAGGATTAGCACCACGGTCAGGATGATGAGAGTTGAGATGATGTGAATCAGCCAGGAGATGTTACGTCCCCCATATAGCAGCAAAATCACAGCCTTACGGGCCTGAAGCGTTTGCATGGACAAAGAAAGATGCAAGACAATGTGCAAACAATTGAAAATGTCAAATATGAATACACTAAATTAACTTTATAAGCTTAACAAAAGCTTCATATTTAAAAACAAAAAAGATATCACTTTAGCAGATATCAGTAACTGTGTCCCTTTTTAAAAAGTACCTCTGCATGAGTTAAACCAACCAACCTGTTTTTACTTATTTTTCCATGATATCACAAACGGGGATATTCTTTAGCCCCTCGAAAAATTGAACTGTACTCACAGGGAAGTGTATAAGTGGTACAGTCAGCAGCACGGCCAGGAGGATTGCCAACCGGACCGTCATCACCATGATGTCACGTGGCAAGTATGTATCGTAACCAAGCAACAGCTCTGAATCCACATGACCTATCAGTAGGAGGTATGAAGAATGAAGGTGCAGACGGAGCAGGACTTTAACCTAGTGAGGCAAATTGTTGAGGTCTTACTGTAGAAAGTGAGGTAGCCAAAAAGGGCCGAAATGAAGTAAAGCAGGAAGCTGAGGCCAATGCTGATGTTTGCAACATTCTGCATCCGGGCTTTAGTAGGTCTGAAAGACATCAGGTATGGACAGAGCCTCGTGTTGACATGACACAGAGTGGTTCGATGACGTTTAGCAGAAGTTAAAGTTAAAGCTGGAGTGCTGACCGTTCCAGTTCGCAGTAGATCGGCAGGATAGCCGTGTGGCACAGGAAGGAGAAGGCCATGGTGGGGATGGCATAGGCACTCTGTAACACACATCACAGAACAGCCGTCACTAACAAATGATCAACTTACACGGTTATCCAAGAGTGAGAGACGGTGTGTCAAAGTACGAGTGGGATTTAACATCCAAGCTGCTGATCCTGCCAATGCACAATCACAACGTGTTCCTTCTTGACTTGCTCTCTGAATACACTCCACACTAAAAGCCAACATATGCCTTTACTGCCATGCAAGAATGTTTTCATAATGAGAAATAAGAACCTATTTATTTTCGGTACGGGGTAATCAAGGCAGTCACGTGTACATGTGGCCTTAACGTGTAACATAAATGTGAGTGGCAGCTGTAAAGTGCGCTGCTCAAGTTCCACACGTACAGACCGATCACTCAAAGGTGGGAGTGTGACCTGTCAGCGCAGTCAAACAACTGACGTTCAACAACTTTGCACCACCATCTGAAAGGATCCTGCATGTGCAGCGTAGAGAAAATGCTGGTTTCACATATGCACCTTAATGGAGACGATGAAGAGCTTTGGCGTACAGTCTGACTCAGAGGAATTGGATATCTGCAGAAAGAGGGAGAGAAAAGATGGAATCTAATTTTTTCTCAGAAAAGAGATGACTTCTGCAGTGCTGACACGGATAGAAAAACAAAATTACATTTGCTGGTTTCATTGCTATAGGGATAGCAATCATTAAATTTAACCCCATGAAAGTCTGGAATTGCAGTATGGTGTATAATTTCTAAAGGTCAAAGTTCACTTCCAGGGTCAGGTAAGGTCACCTGGACTTCCTTTTTTCTTATGACTGCCTTTATTCACCATGCAAAGCAATCTACAGCTCTCTCTGGTACTCATCAGTCAAAACACAAGCAAAAAGTAAACTAAATGTCTTGGGTTTTCCACCAAATCTCGAGGCAATGCTCAACTGATCCATAACTTTTAAAAAATGTATTACTATAGAACCAATCCAAATGTCTAACGTCATTTCAATCAAAAAATTTTAGCACAAAAAAAATTTCTTTAAAAATTAATGAAAAAGCACAGTTTTAAAAAAACTATATGGAGAGAGCTCCCCACAAAATAAATTAAAATGAAATGGACAAATAAGAAAAAGCCAGTCTGCATTAATATAGCAATACAAAATTTGTGAGCACAAGAACTTTTTGCTCCCACTCACTGTCCATCTGCAGACCTACATAAAGCCTCCAAATAGAAAGAAAATCCAGGAACATACAATATTTAGAGTTATTATAGCTACTGTAGCTATAAGAGATATAAAATAGGTCATCATACCAAAGTATAGCACAGAGGTAGTAATATAGTAATATGGGGTAATATGAGTCAAATGACATGCTAAAATATAAATATTTCAGCATGGTGACAATCCGAAGTGGCAAAAAGGGGAAAGCAATTTAAAAATAAAATCTAACTAGTTTCAACTCAAGAATTAGGTAATTAAGTAATTATCATTCTTTCAAACTTTGTGTGAGACTTTTTGAAATAGTTTTACATTGACTGTGTCAGAAATTGTGTCCACAATTGTAACATGTAATGACTGGTGTACACTGATCAAAAGGGTTTATTTCTACCTTCAACATCCCTGAAAGGGTAGTGACATTATGAGGCAGTGGACATGGAATGGACCACTTCTTTACCACAACCTAGAGATGAGACAAAGCAGCATGTCAGTCATGGAAGTGCTACAGTAGGTGCATGGCTAGAGTTTTACACTTACCACAACAGCAAAATACAGCATGAACAAGAAGGCAAGACTGCTGGTGTAGCCAAGGAAGCCTGTGTGAGATAAAGTACGAGTAAGGTGCAACAATTCAAACCAGCTTGTAGTAGAAAATCAGATTTTGGGTAGACAAAAATTACCAATTTTAGGCAACAATGACAGTGGCAGAACGATGCAAACTGTAACTAAGATCAGAAGCAACCTGCCGTCTTCATACCAGGCATTTCTGAAAAAACAAAACAACAACAAGCAGGATATGAAAATCTCTGGTGTGCTTAAATGTTACACAGTCAAAAGCTGCCTTTTAAAGCTTTAAGGTGGACTGGCTCTGGATATATTCTCTTTCGTATTAAAATACAAAGTGAAAAAAATCATCATATGGTATGAATTAAAGGCTTTAGCTCTTGCAAAGCAAAAATAATTAAGCAATTCAAATGCAAACGTTGTGTCACTCTATCAGATGAGACCAAAGCTCACTTGCAGGGTTTTTTTTAAAGAGGTGGAATAATATTTTCCTTTGCTGAAGGATAGCCTTAGTGGTTTATTCGGGATTTGGGAGTTAGCGGAAGAAGAGGTGGAGGAGGAGTGGTGCAGTTTGAGGTGACACATGTGGAAGGCATGCTGGCTCCGCTGGGGTCGGGGTCGGGTGGAAGGCTGCAGCCTGTGGCTGCTGTATGTTGGACCGCAGCATGGGGTCATGAGGGACTGGCTCCACTGCTCTTTATGGGGCTTCCAGAGTCAGCAGCACCTGCTCCAACCACATCAACACCCACTGACCCCTGTTTGGCAGTTTCACAGCTGTGGCGTTACCATAGGCGCTGATGGATTTGTCTGTGCGTCTACACAGTCTCTGCCCTGCGACTGGATTTTAGGGGGAGCGCCACTTTGACTCTGTTGTCTAATTATGCCCTCTCCAAGTTTAGAAGTTTAGATGCAGCACTGCAGCTTAACTAGGCCCCATCTCTACTTTAGCGACCATGTTGGAAAAAAATACATATATTTATATGTTGTGTATATATACATAAAGATACATATATTCATGTCTCCACGGTAACCCTGAGCTCCAAGGATTTTGTAAAGGCACAGGATATGTAGAGCATCCATGAAATGTTGAAAATTTCATGCTACACGACACAGCATAGCCCTGAGTTAAGGCAGCGGTACGACTGCCAATGAGTCAATCTCCACACAGAACTCAGGATCAGCATGAATCGGGCCAAAGCAGCTCTATCCCAGACCCACAGCTGTCTGTGCTTTTGGCCTTGTTGCTGACTGAATGTAAAACACGATGAGTAGAACAGCATGCACACCCTTTAAACGCAAACACAGCGAGATTGAGCACGACAGCGTTTCCCATTATGATAAACGAGCCAGCAAAAAGTTGCACGTTTTAATATAAAATAACTAATTTATTTGGGCTTTGATGGAACTGAGCGTGTTTTCATTAACATCCCAAAGCCACTCATTAACCGAAATGTTTAGCTTCCCTCAGCAGTGAGCTGTAATTAGAATGGCAAAACTGATATCCCCTTGTATCAGTCTGATTCCGGGGAACATGTGTGAGAGATTTGGGGGTGAAAGGAGCACACTAATACAAAGCAGCTGTGTGTGGAGGATTCAGATGTTGACGGATGGAGCTGAGAGCTGTTACAAGCCTTGCTTAAACCAGTGTGGCCAATAATAAAGTAATAGACGTTACATTCTTGGCCAGGGATTTTTCTCGGAGTTGCATCCTTATCCATGCAGGCTAGTGAAGGACAGAGAGAGGTGATAAATGGCTCTCTGTTGTGAACACATTTCCTTTGGCTGTGCTTCATGCCACAAAGCACACATGGATCTTTCCCTCTAATCTCTCATGAAGCACTTATTAGCAGCGGTGTGGCTTGTTATAGGCCTTCCTCCACCACATTATTCACAAATGTATCTTTGAACAAGTAATTCCAGTTTGGGGGCTTTTGAGATGCCAAGGTGACACATTTGACGCTTTTAAATTTCAAATGTATAATTTTTTAGATTTTAAACTAATCTCTTTTCTGTCTCTTTTCTGAAATTTCAATGTACCCACCCTGTGTGATCTGGGCTCAGGAAGCTGTTGATGGCAGGAGGAAGTTCAGACTTCAAGATGAACAGGTAGGATGACATGGCTGAACCAAAAAAACAAACAGGAGAACACAAATAAACAAACAAACACCAAAAGTTACTTGAAAGCCTCAAAATCGCAAACAGTAAATGACTGAATGTTGTCATGACAAGTCCAACTTTTCTGCGTAAGGGGGATTTTTTTTCCAGTGTTTTAGGCATAGGCAAAGCAGAGGGGAGTGAGAGAAGCTGCTCAGGAGGCTCACCGTTTTTTTATATTTATTATTATATTATTTACTATTATTATTGTCTATTTGATCCAGGTCTTTAAACTTTGAAGAGCTCAGGTAGCAGCCAGGATGGAGAATAGTGAGTGAGGGTGGGGGTGGGGTAGAGAATGCTAACAATAATGATCATTGACGTTAATCCAGGTACTTCTACCCTTTCCCCACCTCTCTAGGAAACAAGATACTTCCCTGTTTGCTCTTACAGCCAATCAGAGAGAAGGTAGGGGTCAGTTCCTGAGTCAGTCCCAAATAACCCCAGCAGGAAAATGGGGGGAAAGAACATCAAGAGAAGAGAAAACATTGGCCTGAAAAGGGGATTCAAATGAGGTAAGTGGACAGTACAAAATAAGGAAAAGGGATTTCTATTTGCGAAGCCAGGTCTGTGCGGGGTTAACTGGGACCTTATTGCCTCGGGGTAGGTCTTGCACTCGCCGTTAAATAATACTAGCCATAATCCCTCAGATCCTGTATTTGTTTATAAAAGAGAATTCCTGCAATAACCCTGCAGCCCACACAGACACAAGCACATTCTCTATGAGAGTAACTGCTGCCATTTATGAGCACTAAAAGCTGTCAGTGAGGGGTTATTGTTCAGCAGCTGGTTTAGTGAATTAGCCAAAACATTTCCCAGCAAAAGTTCATCCATCAATGTGAACAAAAACAAATGTGAACAACAACAAAAAAAGCAAACAACCACTTTTTTAACCACACAAATTAACAATGACACACTGGCAGGGATCACACAACAGGCGTGATGCAACAGCATCGTTTCATGCAGTTGGTTACTTAGAGCACAACAGCACATCTACGTAGGTTCCCGGTGGGAACATACTTACATCTGTAAACAAAAACGACCCTTGAGTGAACAAAGAGGGTTGTTATTGGTCAAGTGGTAAGAAAACAGATTCTTATAATAAGCATTCATGTAAAGTTTAGGAAAAGTTGAGGTAAGCCCTCTGTGTGTGGTCAGCAAATAGCTAGAGAGTGTATTCGACATAAGACAGAGCCACTTTCATTTCATTAAGAGCAAGGAGAGAGGCAGGCTGTGAAAGCCAGGGGCTGGTCAGTAATTAAGGTCAATTGGCCCATCAGCCTTTGGCAGCGCAGATGAATGTTTACCCAGAGTGAAGCTAATTGCACTCTTATAAAAAGGGGCCGGGGGTATAGACAGATGCATGCTCGAGTGCCGGCTCTCACACTCTTGCGCATACTGCCCCATGCTGGGAAAACCACAAACATACCAGAGGGCACTGCAATAATCCACTCAGCCATGCCACTAATGAAGGCAGAGGAGCAAACGCCTCAGCTCTCAGCTGTCAGAGGGGACGGACTGTCTGTGGAGCGAGTGGAGATGGTAGTGGGAGATAGAAGGGGGGGGGGGGGGAGAGGGGGGGGGGGGGGGGGGTGGGGGATAGAGGGGGGGGGGGGGATAAAGGGAGGGGGGGGGTGCCATTAGATTACTCACAATGCGGAGGGTGGGAGGGGGTTTACCATCAGCGATCAATTAGAGAAGAAGTCATATTTCAGGCCATGGGGAGGGAGCTGAGAGGATGGCGGCTACAAGGTCAAGGGTTATCAGGGAATCTCGATAATAGCCTTACAAGGAGAGTGTGTGTGTGTGTGTGGGGGGGGGTCTAAGAGACTGGTGCCTGAATCTCCAGCAGGAGGCACTATCTGCCTCCAAAATAAACAAAAGAACCCTGCTGCAGTCCTTACCCACATAACTACTCTGCTTCTCATAAAACCCACAAAATTAGTTTATGTCCAACATGTCAGAGAGAATGTCTGTTTCTGCACATTAAAGTGGGGGGCTGACTTACCACCAATATTTTGGACGAGAATAGCAATTCCAACCAGAACCTGGAGAGAATTTTAAGGAGGCTGTTGTCAATAATAACTTGTGCAGACAATATACAAATGTATGAATGTTATAACTGGGGAAAACTCACAGGAGCCCAAAGGGAAACACTTACTTTTCCTGGTTTTTTCAAGGCTTTCCCTCCAAGGTCTTCATATGAGTTGATACCTACCTCTTTCCCTACACGACGCTCTTTCCATTTAGCCGCGATAGGTTTCGGGTACGAACAATCGGAATTTAATCATCCACTCTTTTGTCTCATTTAACCTACTCTAAGCATCAATTAAACACCATCTGAATTTGATCTTTGCACTCAGTTAAGTAGAAAAACCTCTGAATAAAATGTATATATGGCAAGATACGCAATCTTAAAACACACAACCCAATCTCACTCACTGATTTAATCAAGAGGAAAGGAAAAGAGATAGCTCAGGGTGTGAAGTCTGCATTTAGCCTCAATAAAAACCGGGTTCTGTCTTATCAAGTTAAACAGCCTTGCTTGTCCCTCACCTGTTTGGTCACAAAGCTTCAGCAGCAGATGTATGGAGTAAGCTGCTAGACTGGACACCAGGACCAACAGGATGCTAAGGCGGAAAGTGAGAGCAACAATTTTTAGAAGTGAAGTTGGTATCAAAAGAAAGTGCAGATGGAAAAAGTCGAGCCTTACCCAAAACCAACTATTCCTGTGCTAGCCATTGCGAAAGCTAGACCCAGTATACCGCTGCCCATGATAGCATTCATCAGGTTGAACACAGATGAGGTGAACGAGGCTCCGGTGGCTCTGGTTTGCATGGAACCCTAGAAATACAGAAAGAATAAGACATGGGGGGAAAGGCTTTGGGTGTGAAAACAACGAAGCAGCTGTGGAAGAAATCTGCTTATTTGTGCAAGAGTCATTTGTGGACGGCTCATGACAGCATTCAGAACAACTGGCCGGCGCTGATGATGGATGCCATGAAACAACACTGCACTGGAATGCGGGATCAGTAAATGGAAATGGGAATGGATGGGGAGGGATTTGAGCTGCTGGCTGCAGGACAGCTGCCTGAGCTCAGGATAAGGGGAGCTGCCGAAACCGCTTGACCCCTTTAATGGGGGATATCCTGGACAGAACGAGTGGCAACTCTGGTGTCGGTGTCACAACAAGCCTGGATTGACCTGCAGTCCGCCGGGTCCGATTCACTCTGTTACAGCACTGAGACAGGAGGGACACTCTGACTACCAGATGGATGAAAAAATAGATTGTCTGCAACATGCAATACAAATCCAACCAATTAGATTATTCAGATCCATAAATACAGTGAATGGGACTTGAAGATGCATTTGCAACCAGTGTGGTCAGTCTTGGGTTTGACCTTGTCTTGGTGATCCAGCAAAACAGGCTAATTTAAAGGTTATTCTGCTAAATGGTAGTTTTAAGCATATATATTTCTGGCTAAGCGTTGTTAAAATAGTACTTATTTGTTGCACTGCATTTAAAGTGTAATGAAAATTAGATGATTGATAAATTACCCAAGAAACACAAACTGCAGAAAACACAGAGATATGTTGAACTTATTTTTCATTGTTACATGCAGAGACTCTAATAATTTTATTTCAATGTTTACACAATAGAGATCCCACATTATTTCATTATAAAAACAAATTCTTAGAAACAGAAAAAAACCTGCAAAGTGTTGTCGAGAAATTATGAATTTTACAGAGAAGTCTTCTGAAAAGTTATAGCCTTCTTTTTTTTTTACTAACTTTTAGTCTTTAAATGTAACTTCCTGATAGAAAAGTGTCAAGTTAGATTTAAAATATCATGACAGCACCAGTGCTTCATTTAGCATGGGGGAGTCCCCCTTTAAATAATGAAATTAAGTCCTGAATCTAAGGATTTACTTCTTGAAAATGTAAAAGAATAGAAAAAAGCATTTGAAAAACGATGGTAAATAAGCTGTTTGGGGTAGAATTTCCTCAGCAAGTGCTGACAGAAGCAAAAAGAAAGAGGGAAGCAGAAATGTGAAGCTCGTCTCATGTGATGTCTGTCATAAATAGTTTCATGACATCAGATTCACACATTTCTGACTTGGAAAAATGTATTTCTTGGCTACGTTCTGTACGGAGAGCCCCAGTTGAGTCATAATAATCTCAGGAATTAAACAAACGAGACAATTGTTAGTTCAACACTCACATTTCCCAGCAACGGTGTAGTCTCCTCAGCCTCTGAGTTTCTGGGGGAACACTCCCTGTAAAGGTCTGCGTGCGCGTGCCCGTTGATGCTCATCTTCAACAACTTCAACAACAGCAGTTACGACGCGACGACACAGAGCCGGAGACTCTATAAGACCATCATACTCCTCAGCGACTTTTAAGGTCTCCCCTTATCATGTTGTCAGCTGGTCAGTGTTGCTGTTGATAACCCACATCACGTTCCCACCATTTCCGTCGCATTTCACGTGACAGATACACTCTGACCAATCCGAAATAGGTTTCTCACTCGTCTGCCCAATCAGCACTCGTCTATGGTCCACTATTGATGACGCAAATGGACGCATGCTGAAAGGCAGAGGATGTTGAGGTGAGTCCGTGCTTTAGTCGTCATTTGAAACAACAAATGCTGGCTTTATTTAACCTAATTCACAGTTATTTTTAAACATGTATGATAGATTATGATTAGTGTGGATACTGTTTATCTAAGAGTGTTCTTTAATTGAAACTTCAAAAGTGCCTTTCCTGCTTAAACAGCTCCTGCTCGGTGTATTTAGAGGGTTGAGGGAGTTGTTATTTAAATTCGAAACGTTGTCTCCATGTTGCTTGATATTTCTTACTACTTTCAGTGAGGATTTGGTAAAATCGTTACCCCTAAAATGTGCCATTAGTTCATTTATTTATTTCCTATTTTTGGACGATCAGTCTGATGTTGTAGAAGAAAAATCTTTGTTCATTCCTGAAATACAAATAGAAAACCAGTCAAAATAATGTTTGTTTGCCTTCCCTTAGATCTCGCCCTCTGACACACTGGCAGTACATGTCAGAGTTTTCTTACGTATGTTTGATCAATTCTCTGCTAAATTGTAACTGTATGTTGTTGTTGTTTTTTTAAAGGATCCTCACACGGATTGTTCTATCTGGTGAAAATCAGAGAAAACTTAAATCTGTGGCTTGGAACAAGAACCTCTGTTCTGAAGCCTCAGTTTCTGCTGACTTTTTTCTCAAGCCCATTATGGAAAACCAACTGTACCGGCCCCCTCCTGAGGTCCGGGGTATGACCTCTCTTGATAAAGATGCCTTCACTCAGACCATCACAGTCCCAGCTCTACGGGTACCCACTGGGGTCTTAAACAAAGTAATGAAGAGTCTAAAAAAATCCACCATCCAGCGCCCCGGTATGCCCAGAGTGATTCAGGACAAAGAGGAGAGTAGCGGCATGCGGGTGGTCCTGTTGGACCCCCACAGAGTGTCGTCACCGAGCTCCTTCAGTGAGGCTGAGGCCGAGGCGCTCAGGGCATTTGGCGTTGCTGCGGAGCTCCACAGCCACGAGTTGAAGCTTACCTACGAAAACCTGAAGTGTGACGAAGTGCTGGAGGCAGTGCTCCCTCAGGGTCAGGACGTGACGTCGGGCTTCAGCCGAGTGGGACACATCGCGCACATGAACCTGAGAGATCACCAGCTCCCATTTAAGAACCTCATAGGTGAGAGACACACAGATTTACCACTTAAACAAGACATCAGTGATGAAAGTGAGTCAGCCAGCCTGGGAGTAACATAGCAGCATCAAAACTGCGTAGTAGCCGAACAACTCAATTAAGTAATTCACTCTAAGTCGTCACATTTATGTATTAAGACTAATTTCACATGTGTATAATATGTGTGTAGATAGCTGGGACCAGGGGGCAATCTTTCCAGCTTCTGGACAGAAACAGTTGACAAGAGAATATTTTCTAAACCGAGATCAGGTTTTGTGAGTCACATGCTTTGCTGCTTCCACTGTAGGTCAGGTGATCATGGACAAAAATCCTGGCGTCACCTGTGTCGTCAACAAGACAAACATAATTGACTCAACCTATCGCAACTTCAAGATGGAGGTGCTGGCCGGGGAGGAGAACATGGTCGCCAAAGTATGTCCAGTTATTTTAAGCCATTGATTAACACGCATGTAAACAACCCCATTTAAAATGTCACATCCCTTGGTGAAAAATAACCTTCAAATACAATTTGATTGCAATCCTTTATTCATATTTTAAATCAATGGATTTTTTGTGAAAATAGAATACATGTGGAATGTTGACAGAGAGATTTCTTTTTTGCCATGAAAATTTTCAAAGGAAAGGGCAAATTTTTTTTTTTTTTACTGTTGAATCCTTGTTATAACAACACAAAGCAAAGTGTTTTCCCATTCTTTCTTCATATTGGATTTCGACTCCTCCATTTTCAAGGGTCAGAACTGCAGGAAGGCCAGTTTAGCTGCTGGACTCTTACTACAGTGTTGCTGTTTTGTAATAGGTGCAAAATCCGATGAGGCATTGTCTTACTAAGATAAGCTAGACTTTACCAGAAAAATACATCAAATAACAGCGATGGGCTGGGAGGTCATTTATTTCAGCTAAATATCTGGGATTCTGATTATGCCCTATAGGCCAGAAAATATTTAATTAGTGAGCTAAACTAATTAATTTTTACACACTAAACTAAACGCACAAGCAATCAATCTTGTGGTATCTTATTTTGTGTTGACAGATATATTCCGACACATCTAACCTGTTTGAGACCTTCAAACACCTCACTAAATATTATTTTATAAGTAACACTTCATTTTTTCAATCCCATTCACTGAACCATCCAAAAAGTAATTTGGAACCCCATTAAGAGCCAGTCTTTGCATTTTTACAAAGCCTGATTAGTGAACTCACTGCACAGACCTCTGCCCTCTTACCGCCAATTCAGGGAAGGACTGCATAAACTAGCAGAAGTTCCCTGAACACATCTTTTCTACCCTTTTGTTTTCAGGTTAATCCCTTTTAAATAGTTTTTGGCTTCTTATTGCAAATGAATTTCAATTTCATATTGTCTAAGTAAAAAATGTTCCAAGTCAGATTTGGGTGGAAAGTATTTTTCAGTGAGGTTTGTTTTTTTTAAAGAAATTCTCTCTGAAATAGTTTTAGTTTTTTAGTTGGTTTCAGAGCGTTTCCAGGTGTTTGTATTCATGTCTAATATTTAGCATCGTTTATCCTTTTTGCAGGTGAAAGAAAACGGGGTGACGTATGAGTTTGACTTTTCCCGTGTTTACTGGAACCCTCGGCTGAGCACGGAGCACCAGCGGGTGGTGGAGCGCGTTGAACGCGGGGACGCCGTGTTCGACGTGTTCGCTGGCGTGGGACCCTTTGCCATCCCGGCGGCCCGCTTGGCTGCCACCGTCTGGGCCAACGACCTCAACCCGGACTCTTACACATGGCTGCAGCACAACTGCAAACTCAACAAGATGGAAAGCAGAACCAAGACCTTCAATCTGGATGGCAGAGCTTTCATCCGGGGACCTTTAAGGCAGGAGCTGCCCGCTCTGCTGCTGGGGGAGGCCCGCGTCCATGTGGTGATGAACCTCCCTGCGATGGCCTTGGAGTTCCTGGATGCTTTTCGAGGTCTTCTGAAGACAGAAACTCCCTGTTACCAGAACCTCCCCACAGTGTATTGCTACGGCTTCTCCAAAGACGACAACCCCGAGCAGGACGTGGTGGACAGGGCTTCCCGCAGCCTGGGCTTCACCCTGAAGAACAATTACTTTGTGTATTCCGTGCGTAACGTCGCACCCAACAAAGATATGATGTGTGTCAGATTCACGCTTCCTAAAGAGGTCCTTTTCTGCTCCGACGATGAGCTCACAGGTGAGAAAACCATTGTGTTGACATAGAACACTTGTTGCAGAACAAGCAGTGTGTGGAAAACTGCTTGGAAAAGCATCTAGAAGAAATCCTTTTCTGAATGACATGATCAGTCTCTAGCAGCACTGTGGAGGGTGTGGTTTTCTCTAGACATGTTGTTGGCCATCATGATCAAACATTTCCACTTTGGTCTCATCTGTTCAAAGCACATTGGTTGAGAACGTTTGTGGTTTGTACAGGTGGAAGATGACCTGGTTCTGGGGACATGGATCACTCATTGAACCTTACTGTTCTAATTTTATTTTATTTCCACAGTGCTTCTGCCCTTTAACTTATTTTTTTCTTAAACAATACCACACAGTGATTGGTATTAGGCTAAGGCTGTATCTATGTCATTTTAAAAATGGAAAAGTTCTAAATTGGTTTTGAAAATGTGTTTTACTATGTCCTGACATATTAAATATTGTTTTTTTTGTTCTTTTTTTTAAATGGTGCGACTGCAGGAAGAGCAGAGGAAAAATAGAACAAAGGGGATTGAGCATGTTTGGACATGCGTGCTTTTCATAATGATGTCATTGCATCCGTCTCTCTCATGTTCTCCAAAGTGTAAATGTTACCTATTCCTCACCGTGTGAAACATGCAACCTCAGCCTTTCTTTCTTCTCGTCTTTTTTTAACCTATCAGTATTGAGTGCACAACTGACATGTAGTTTCCATTAACAGAATGATGATTTGGTGTTTTCATTTATATGTTCTTTTGTTCTAAAAAGTATTTTGGTGTATTCACAGAGCCTTCTGAGGAGCCCGCCCCAAAGAAACAGAAGTGTGAGGAAACTGCACAATAGACATGATGTGCACATCAACCTGGAACTGTCGCGATAGCTCGACAACAGATTTGCGAAAGACATTTTCTTCAGAAATAATTTACCTAAAATTGTTTGTCATCTTCAATTATCATTCTGAGATGCACATTTAAAATGTCATTTTATTTTAAAATAAATCACAAAAGGTGGTAAGACTTTCTGTTTTCACTTTATTTAAAATATACAGTATCTATAACAGAGAATATAAAAAGCCACAATAACACTGAACAAAAATAACACTGTGCACTACGTGCCCCGGCAGCTCAGCGGTAGGAGAGCCCTGTTCATCGTCCACTTGGTCCAGTTTGTAACCGGCGTGGCTTTGGACGGGTTCAGCCTTTCTGAGGGAACATTCCACTGAAAGCATCCTGAATAGCTCGGTAACACGCCAAAGCTGAGGTGTATCCTCCAGCTGTGTCTTGAGGCATGGCAGCTCGCACGTGGTTCAGATACCTGAGAACACACAGAAAGCTCTTTTCAGTGTCAGCAGTGAGAGATCCTTTAAGTACGTTACCTGACTGACCACATGAGAGCTCGTTTCAACTTTCTCCTCTCATCAAATCGGCACTTTTGAAAGTTTTCTTTCCTGGCTCTCCTGGACCCTTTGATGAGATCAACAAAGACAGACGAACCCACACGGTAACAGGGGAACACCTTGTGCCTAAAAGCTTCACCAACATAGCTCCATTAAAGTATTATAGGTGTCTTTCATTTTCTAAGTGCTTACAGATGTATCCTGTCAAAGCCCCTCTTCAGGTTCTAAGCAATGTCAAGAGTCACTGTTTATTTTCACATTCAGAAAAACAGTTCGGCTGTTAATTCAGCCTCCACATCTTGTCCCTACACACTCTGTGTGTGTGTGTGTGTGTGTGTGTGTGCGTGTGTGTAGGGGCAGTTGACCTGCTTTCCCACCCATTAAGCCTTTCTCCAGTGTTTTTGTACACTCAAAAAGTGGCCGTTTCTTACAACAAAGCAAAAAAAAAAAAGTCGTCCAGCCACTGAGACAACACATAGTCTTGCCCAGAGTACTGCCCCCCACCCCCACCCCCCTCCCCCTATCCCCCCTCTGTAGTCCTGGCAGAGAGGTCTAAAGCCCTCACACGAGTCTGGCTTTGTGGCCCCTGTTCCTGTGAGCTGGAGAAACTTCAAAGTGAAACGGGAATCAAGAGGACAGACAGCACTCTGATTTCTCTGCCCATTCAAGTTGCTTTACAGAGTAACCCAACACCTGTGGGGAGGCTCAGAGAGCCCGGCCGTGTTGAGGTGTATGCGAGAGGGTGACGGATAAGCCAGGGAAAAAAAAAAAACAACAACCTGCCGGTTAGACTACACGCTGGACAGATCACACTTTGAGTGTTTTATGACCCCGTGAGCTGCTTTTGTTTTGTTTGTTCTTCCCACTCAATATAGCATCCGCTGAACTCTAAGCACAGACAGAGTTGCTGTAATGCCTGCGACGTCAAAACGGAGCAATAAATACCGCGCACCCCAAATCTGTGAAAGTGAGCGGAACAGCATGCAATGTCGATCAAATCAGGCCACTCATCACCCACTAGAGAAACAATACACAAGTTCAAAACGGGAGGTTCAGTGATTAATAATAACTTCATTAGGCCCAAGCTGCTGTAGCCTGTCCTTCAGAGCACTTGAGGGAGGTCTTCTCATATAGCGCCCTGCATCAGATGAGTGCTATCTATTGATTATATTGTACTGGGGCCTTTTTAATGGTGAAAAAACTGGGCTATTTACAGCCTGGCTAAGTCTGCTCTTCCTGCTAATCTAATCCCCAAGCTACTCATGTGGTCATTCCTTCCAAGAAAGCTGAGAGCTCTGTGTAACTTTATACCTGCCTGCCCCAAAGGAGAGGGAGAGGGAGAGAGCAAAAGGAGAACATGAAGAGGGAGGAAGAGGGTGGGCGGCAGAGAAGTGGAAAGAAGAGGGGGGGGTTGGGGGGGGTTTATGAGGTGAAGTCACCTTTGGGTATCATCATCACAAAACCTCTTTTCTTAAACCAACCCTGTCCATCCTGCGCTCACCCAGAACACCAGAGGTTAGTTCAGTTCGGCTCCATTAACTGAGCGGCCGTATCTGTATCTCCCAGCGAAGCCTCGTAGGTGCAGGTACACATGACGGGCCGGAGACGATAGGAGCGCCCTTTTTTTTACGTGACTGTACTCGACAATGCCGACAAATTCCGAGAGCGCTGACAATGCGTGAGGACGTGCAAAAACAGGAAAGGCATTAAAAGTGTGCTGCGAGCCAGCCCACAGAAACGGACGTCAATCAAAAACCGAAACCCACACAAACCAGACTCCTCTGAACAGACGCTTCATTCCCCTCTGACACTGCAGTGTCACTGTGTGCACTAACACTCTCCCACCCCATTAGTTCCCCCCCTACCCACCCCACCCCACCCCGCCCAACCCCTCCATCTCCCTTTCCCTCCAAAGACTGGACAGCCTTTTGTTCGCAGGGCACTGAAACCCTAGCCGATTCGGCCGGTAACATCTTTCACTCTCCGGGCCCCACTGGAGCATTAGCTGCAACTCGATCTGGGTCTTTTCAAAGCTTTGTATTATTGGGTAAATATGGGTCACTTTGGACTGGCCCATTATGTCGCTTCGGGGGAGCAGGAAAAAATGAGTGCAGGTGATGAAGACAACTGAGTGACATGGTAAGACGTAGTGTGTGTGTGTGTCAGACTACATTTACCAACACAATAAGCTTTTTTTTTGTTGCTGGTAATTCACCATTGAACATCCTGTCTGTTGTGTATAATATTTCCTTGAAATCAACAGCAACAAACGCAAAATTTGAAAGCATCATGGTTCTTTCTTTTTCACTCTCTTATTTCTACCATCTGCTTTTGCCCTTTCCAAATAGCTTTCTGAGGTTGGATCAGCACTAACTGCATTTTTTCCACTTGGGTCAGGAACACTGAATACCTCACCAGTATCTGCTGCTAACGCTAATAACGGTCAGGCCTTTTCCTGAAGGGATCCCCATAGCATTCCCCAGTCCCGTTGCCTGGAAAACGCAGCCGAGCCACATCTCTAATTCAAAGTGAAAAGGTAAGTGGGGAAATGTTCCGGCGGTTACTGTGCGAGTTCCAGCTGAGAATGTGTGGCTTCTTTTGGGGCTGTTTTCGAGGAGTAAAGAGCGTTTGGGTTCTTCACAGAAATGGCTGTGAGGCCGGTACTTCGAAGGGAACGCAGCCGATTCTAGACAGGACTGCACACTGCGTTGGGCCTCTTGTCTAGACTCCATGTGTTGGCTTGAAATGGATTAAGAAAGGCTGTGGGGCCAAAATAAGATGGAAAAGAAAAGAGACATGTAATACTACAGCGGCCATTTCAACGAGCAGACACTTAATCAGCGTGCTAACCACAGAGTAGACACCCTGTACAGCAGAGCAGTCTGACATGATTTTAAACAACTCTCACTGAGAAAATTACCATCTGTGGTTTTGTCTATTTTCATACAATAAGACTTAGACTAGCTTTTTACTTTTCAGCAAGTCTTAGGAAGCTAAACTGGCCCTTTGTGATGATGGGAAAGTTTGGAATTCTCTGAAAACCTTCAACTTCTGCAGTCCCAAAGATACACTCAGTTCAGGAACTGATCACCGTTTTGGATTGAATGTAGTTGGTAAATAGGTGAAATGAGCCTGAAGAGTACATGTGCCAGTCATTTTAGCAAGTGATTGACATAACATAATTTTGATTTTTTTTAAAAAGGCCTCTGTGGTTTTTCCATTGTCTTCTTCATTAATCAAAACATCAGCCTTTACTGAAAGAAAAGTCATGCCATTATAACAAAGCTTGGCCATCCAGTTATAACAATTATGATTCACATAAACAAAAATGAGTACAAGCATGTGTACTGAATGCTAAGTTAATTGATTTTGCCCACAAATCAATACCCTACCAAGGTTCTATCCTGAGTGTATTGGTGATTATTTTAACAATAGTTCCTCATTTTTATAGATCGTAAGTTGTAAAGAGATGTGTTTTTCATGATCACAACAAAGTTCAGGCCAATCAGGAGATGAAATTAGTATTCAGCAAAACCAACTCTGGAGACAAAGTGTAAAGTTTAAAAAAAAAAATCTAACGATACACAATTGTGCTCCAAGGGCTGATGTCTCATTTGCCAAGTTTACTGAAGTAAAGCAGCATAGGCTGTGATGTTTAATGCAGAGGGAAACAGAGTGGGGTATAAATGAACAGAGAGCACTTTGCTTCTCAGAAAGACCAGTCATAAGACTTCGAGGTGCCAGTACAAATGCCCGGAAGTCTTCCTTTAGCACTGTGCTCCCCCAGAAATGCAGATCCCTGGCCTGGGAACCGTGGAAGCTGGAGGATGGCGGTACAGAGCCACACACCTGCCAGATGATTTGTCATTATAGAGGGGTCAGTACTCAGCTGTCACCCCCTAATCACCCATCCTACCCCTCAAGTCAACCCCCCTTTACCCACTAAACTTCACTCTAGTCCTCCCAAAACACCCCCTGCATTCCTCAGGAAGCTCCGGTTTCACACACAGCCCTGCCACTCCATCTACCCCTCCTTCTTACACTCTACCCTGAGAGAAAACCTACCACTGTGAGAGACACAGCACACTGAGAGCATTGTTTGGATGTGCAATGTGTGCTCATGACTTTGCATGTGTATCTACATGATTCAAGAGTGCGAATACATGTTTACCTAAGGTCAGAGCTGTTTGTATCGACACCAGAGGAGAACTGATGGAACAGAGTTGGACCGGCAGAGCTTGTGTGAAGCTTTAGTCCAGAAAGAAAACCCCTGCAGACAAGCCAAACACGAATAACTCTCACAGGTATACTATATCTGTCAACAGCAGTCTTTCGGCACTTTGGGTCAGAGGTCACCCTCTTCCATTGAACGCAGCTTCCTCTGGGACATGCAAGTGTGTAGGATAGATCCTCAGCTATTAGCCTACCCACTGTCCATCAGATGATC